TCTTCAGATAACGAGGGGGATCACAACAGACCAGGCCACACGTAGATAAAGACAATACTGATATATTTTTTAAAACACCTCTCTAGACACGACAGCCACCACTACAAGACAAACAACCACTACACAACAAAGACCACCACTACACGACAAAGACCACTACGCGACAAAGACCACCACTACACGACAAAGACCACCACTACGCGACAAAGACCACCACTACGCGACAAAGACCACCACTACGCGACAAAGACCACCACTACGCGACAAAGACCACCACTACACAACAAAGACCACTACACGACATAGACCACCACTACACGACAAAGACCACTACACGATATAGACCACCACTACACGACAAAGACCACCACTACACGACAAAGACCACTGCACGACAAAGACCACTACACGACAAAGACCAATACACGACATAGATCACCATTACACGACAAAGACCACTACCACACGACAAAGACCACTACCACGCGACAAAGACCATTCCATCAACAAGACAGGACCTCCAGTTTGTCCCCACAGCGGCCACAATGACATCTGCAGACTATCAAAACAAAATGTTTCACAAGTGTGGCTAAATTACCTGGCTTCTTGTGTACCTTCTGCCACACACTCATTCTAATGTGTTGTGACACTACCACTCCCCCCCTCCCTCCCTCACCTTGCACCACCACATCCCACCCCCAGAACCACCACATCCCACCCCGATACCACTACATCCCCACAACACTACTACATCCCACCCCTGATACCACTACATCCCCACACAACACTACTACATCCCACCCTGATACACTACATCCCCCACAACACTACTACATCCCACCCCTGATAACCACTAACATCCCCCACAACACTACTACATCCACCCCCCGATACCACTACATCCCCCACAACACTACTACATCCCACCCTGATACCACTACATCCCCCACAACACTACTACATCCCACCCCTGATACCACTACATCCCCCACAACACTACTACATCCCACCCCTGATACCACTACATCCCCCACAACACTACTACATCCCACCCCTGATACCACTACATCCCCCACAACACTACTACATCCCACCCCCGATACCACTACATCCCCCACAACACTACTACATCCCACCCTGATACCAATACATCCCCCACAACACTACTACATCCCACCCTGATACCACTACATCCCCCACAACACTACTACATCCCACCCCCGATACCACTTACACAGTCAAATGATTGCAATATTGTGGATGAAAAAAGTACACACAAAACATTACAGGTCTTAAACTTAACGACATTTCGCTTGATAAAGTTACCCTCCTCAAGAGCTTTGTTGTAATAAAGTCTTACGCTGTTTTGTCTCTTCTGCGCCTGTCGGCTCACAGCCTCTTAATTAAGCCTACTATAAATATTGTCGTCTGAATTTGAACGCGTTTGCGGGCACGCGCGTACCTGGAGGGAACAGGGAAAATTCGGGTGAGGGTTCACCAGAAAAATAATGGTTGTAAGAATGTGTTCATTGCCAGAAAAAGCAAAGAAAACATATGTATGTATGTATGTATGTCCTGCTCGGCAAGTAAAACTTGCATAACAGGACAAGCGAAAATTTGTGTATGCAAAAATTTCGCAAAAATCATTCTGAATCTAACGAAAAAAAAATATTTCATTTTGTTTGTGTATTATTAAATTATTGTAAACTTATATAAAATATTTGTAGTTGGATTATGATAAATTAAATTGAACTTGTTATAATAAGGTTAAGTAAGTTTCCTAAGGTCCTTCGGTACAAAATCATTAATTTTTATATTAACATAAATCAAAAAATATATCTTTAAATGTGTAAGAGAAAATTTTAGAAAGAATTTTAAATGAATTCTTGCTAACTGAGCAGTTTTACGTATTCGGCACGACACACACACACACGTGTGTGTGTGTGTGTGTGTGTGTGTGTGTGTGTGTGTGTGTGTGTGTGTGTGTGTGTGTGTGTGTGTGTGTGTGTGTGTGTGTTTTCTTTACTCTTTATGACAACGAACACATTATTACACATTATTTTTCTGGTGAACCGCAACAGAATTTTCACTATTCCTTCCAGGTACGCACGTGCGGTCAAACACCTTGGTAATGCAGGAGGGGCACGGAGATTGCGTCACAGGTGGTGGTGGCAGTGAACTGTTATCAGCACCACCAGTCTGGTGGATCAGGTAGTGAAGAGAGAAGCTCGGCCTCAGGCCGGGCTGCGAGGGTACAAGAGCCCTTGAAACTAGTCACAGGTATGACACTGACATACAGGTACGAGGAGTTGCCAGTAGAGGCAAGAGCCTTGAAGTGACACGGACGGTGGACGAAGTTTGAAGACTGCAGTAGTAGTGTTGTGTTCACGGGAAAGACTGAACTGTGCTGTTAAGCAGCGCCAGGGGTATACGAGGTAATCAAGTTTAACCTGAGAAACGGAAGAGTATGCTACAATTCTCTGAATCAAGAGATCTTTACCAGCATCAAGGCACCCCCCTCCTTGTAGGGACGGGGAGAGTATAAGAGCTAGCAGCGCTACACACCTCACTCGCACACGTCTTACCTCACACTGACTGCTGCTGCTCTTCCCAACCTGCTCCCCTCTCCCCTCCAACAATACCCCTCCCTACCAACACTTCCCTCCACACAACAATCCCCTCCCCAGCAGCCGTGCAGAGCCTCGGTCCTCCACAACTCACAAGCAGCAGCTGGAGGTAAAACAATAACGCCAGATTAATATTACAAAGCTCATTACGCTCCACACTACACTGCATAAGTAATAATGATAATTTACTGGTGGCATTACAAAGTAGCATCATAGCAGCAGACAATTCTCTCTAATGTTGCCACAAAGAAACATTCTGGCAGCAACTGTGATATTTGTGCATATTACAACGTTTCCTGGTTAGACTGGCCAACAAATGAACCGGCCGCGTTTTCTTACGTTTTTACGGATTACTTTTACCTTTGAAGAGTTTCGAGAGTTTCCCTACTTCCACAGCTCGAAAGTAGAGGTCGTCCTAGGGAAGGTAGGAGGGAGGGGGGTGAAGTAGGTTTCGTGGGCGAGGGGCTTAGACATCTAGCAAGCGTATGTGAGCGTGTTAGACAAGAGTGGAGGCAAATAGTTTTTATGACTTTTCGTGCTGTTGGAGTGTGAGCAAGGTAATATTTATGAAGGGATTCGGGGAAACCGTTAGCAGATGGAAGTACAGTGCCTGCACTCTGAAGGAGGGTATATATATATATATATATATAATATATATATATATATATATATATATATATATATATATTTTATATATATATTTTATATATATATATATATTATATATATATATATATATATATATATATATTATATATATATTTATTATATATATATATATATATATATATATATTATATTTTATTATATATATATATATATATATATATATATATATATATATATATATATATATATATATATATATATATATATATATATGATGGGGGTCCACCTCTGGTGTAAATTGTGGGACCCATAGCCTCGGAGAAGTGGATAAAAAGGCTTCAAGGAAGAATATTTGAATTTCTTCCTGAAGCCGTTTGAATATTCCACTTCCCCTGCCACCCCCATCTTTTCATTTTTCTTTTTTACCAACAGGAATATTGTATTACATAAAATGGTACAGAAGATTTAAGAGATACATTGTTGATATAAAGGTGGCATATATGGTACATGTTGTTACGTGTGTATCACCGATTATAAGGCGAAAATCTCATCCAGCTCCTCAGAGTTGGGGCGTGTGCCCAAAATACAGCAGGTATTACCCCTTTGAACAGCCGCACTGAGCCGCTGGAACAGAAAACTAGCTGCCCTGGGATCCCTAGTTACCCTGATGAGTCTTTTTCCCAGCTCCTTAAGGAATTTGGATGCATTCTTTCCCCATGAGCCAAGGGTCTCTGAGCTTATGGGAAAAAACATATAGTGATGGGCAAGTTCTTCATATTTTCTAGACTTTCGGGACTCCCTGAAGCTGGCAGCTGCCCCTCCTTCCTCCCTGGTGTATTGGAGATAGGTATCAGCCAAGGTAGATGCACATGTATAGTCCCACACTACCTGCTTCCCGTCTGTCCAGGCTTGAAGGGTGATACCATCTGGACGCCTCTGGCTGCCATCAGATCTGCATAGCTGGGGTGGCTCCCTTACTGCTGGGCATCCGGCTGTTGTGAGGCTCCTCTTGATAATGTTATTAACCTCCTCATGTCTTGCAATCTTTCCGTCGGATTTACGGCACACAAGACCATGGTACCCGAATCGGTCTGCTGCTTCATTGCCACAAATACACTTGTGTTCGGCGAGAATAGGGGAGGCAAGTCGAAGGGCAACACCGATGCAGATGGTCTGTGGGTCGAGGAGTGTGCCAAGGCTGGAGTTGGGAACAGCCAACAGAAAGTCCCCTGCATGAGGGGCTCTCACTGCCAGGAGGCGGGCTCTATCCTTAGAGAGACAGACAGAGAGACAGAGACAGAGAGACAGAGAGAGGCAGAGAGAGGGGGAGAGAGGAAGTTTTTTTCTTGGTGATGGGTAGTGATCAGGTAACTGAAGGCCTGTCACGTTCTCTCACACCATCATCAATGCTGTCGAAGCCTATTCCTGTTACCACTCTTAACCCTGCTTCCCCTTCCCCACCCACGCCTTCCGTCCCCCACTATCCTTCCGTCTTCGCTGTACTTTCGTCCCAACTGTCCTTCCGTCTCCTCCTCCTTAACCATAAAAATAGCTGTACAAAATATCAGTAGAGTATGAAAAACCAAGGCAATAAAAAACATCTCATCTTACAAAGTGCGTCTCCCCAACATGCCTCGGGTGTGCTGGTCCCTCACACCAGACACACACGGTGGGTTCAGTTGCTAGGCTTGTCAATTCATATAAGTACTTTTGTGCTATACCACTGATATACCTTTGAAGCGTTTCGAGAGTTTCACCACTCTCGGAGCAGGGCCATGGGCCAGGCTCGTCTGGTGCTTGCCTGGTCAACTAGGCTGTTGCTACTGCTGGTCCGCTACCCCACACATCCATCACAGCCTGGTTGATCTTGTAAGCAGGTGATGATAAGTGAGGTGGGTGTGCCGTATCTTCAATCAGCGGAGAGTCCTGTAGAAAGAGGCGTGCCAGATACGCATCTTGCTAAGCACTGTAGAGTCTGCTGCTTGTCTGTAGTGCCCACCAGGACCCCCACTGTCACATCACGTGATACTTGCCCAGAAAGTCAGTGTCAGGGATACACTGCTGAAGAGTACACTGAATACAGCATGCAAAGAATGAAGTAAGAGGGGAGAGGAGAAACGGTGAAGGAGATGAGAGGAGAGGGGAAGGAATGAGAATAGAGGAGATAAGAAATGGAGGGAAGTGAATAGGAAGAGAGAGAACAGAAAAAGGATAAGTGGAAAGGGCAGGGGATAACGAGAAGAGTTAACAGGGTAATATGGAAGTGCATGAGAAGGGAAGGGAGGATATGAGACAGAGGGATGAGAAAGGAGGGAAGACATAAGATAATAAGGCAAACAACAAGATGAGACAACAGAGCAGGGGATGAGACGTAGGGAGGAGGGGAGTGTGTCCCCGGGACAGTCAACAAGTCAACACAGTCACCACCAACTTGCCTTAACTCATATAATAAAAGACAAAGTTACGAGTGTCGACCATACCATACACGCCTATCCGAGTTACCAAAGTTGTACAACAAACTTCATTATAGAATTTATGGTGAGTGTGACCGTTAAGGAGCTGGGGAGTGCATAGCCTAAGTTTTATGGCAGTACAGACACACCACAAGTGCAAGGAAGCCCTTTTTTTCAGCCCCATGTTGTTATATGTCATAGTAATATCTATTACATCTGTTGGTGTAGGGGATGACCATACCTTATCTTCACAAATAATGAGGACCTGATAAGAGACAAGAATATCAAAAACAACTAATTCCGATCACAACCTAATCGAAGTCCAGACGTACATGTATAGGGGTCCTGATCAGCAGAATGCATGTACCTGTGAAGGTGTCTTCACAAAATACAACTTCAACAACAAGAACATCAACTGGGACCAGGTAAACCATGTCCTAAACGAAACATGTTGGGAAGATATCTTAAATGACATGGATCCAAACCAGTGCCTTGAAAGGATCAACTTCCTGGCAGCTGAAGCATGTTCTAGGCATATTCCCCTAAGAAAAAAGAAGAGCAGGAGTAAACTGGAAAGAGAAAGACGCTCCTCTACAGAAGACGGGCGAAGAGTCACTGAGCTCCTCAGGAGTGCTAGAATATCTGATACACGAAAGGAGGCGCTGACCAGGGAAGTGGGAACTATCGAACTTAAGTTAAATGACTCTTACAGGAACCAGGAGAGACAGGAGGAGCTTAAAGCTATTAGTGAAATTGAAAGAAATTCAAAATATTTCTTTTCATATGCCAAAAACAAGGCAAACGCCACATCTAGTATCGGGCCCTTACTCAGACAGGATGGGACTTACACAGATGACAACAAGGAAATGAGTGAAATATTGAAATCCCAGTACGACTCTGTGTTTAGTGAACTACTAATCGGTCTGAGGATCGACGACCCAAATGATTTCTTCATGAGTCTCAAAACTCCATAAATGTATGCCAGATTTCCGACATTACCCTAACTCCCATAGATTTCGAAAAAGCCATTGACAACATGCCCATGCACTCAGCTCCGGGCCCAGACTCGTGGAACTCTTCGTTAAGAACTGCAAGAAACCCCTCTTGCGTGCCCTAAGTACACTATGGAGGAGGAGCTTGGACATGGGTGGAATTCCACAGTCACTTAAAACAACGGATATAGCCCCACTCCATAAAGGTGGCAGCAAAGCATTAGCTAAGAACTATAGACCAAAAGCTCTGACGTCCCACATCATAAAAATCTTTGAAAGAGTGCTAAGAAGCAGGATTGCAAATCACCTGGATTCCCAAAATCTGCACAATCCAGGGTAAAACGGGGGTTCAGGACAGGTCGCTCCTGCCTCTCACAACTACTGGATCACTATGATATGGCCTTGGATGCACTGGAAGAAAATCAGAATGCAGATGTAATATACACAGACTTTGCAAAAGCATTTGACAAATGCGATCATGGCGTAATAGCCCATAAAATACGTGCTAAAGGAATAACTGGGAAAGTGGGGAGATGGATCTTCAACTTCCTAACAAATCGAACACAAAGAGTAGTGGTCAACAGAGTTAAATCGGAGGCTGCCATAGTGAAGAGCTCTGTTCCACAAGGCACAGTACTCGCCCCCGTCTTATTCGTTATCATCATATCAGACATAGACAGAGATAGACATCACAGCACCGTATCATCCTTTGCGGATGATACTAGGATCTGCATGAGGCTGTCATCTGCTGAGGGCGCGGTTAACCTCAAGAAGAATATACAAAGTTTCCCAGTGGGCAACGGTAAACAATATGATGTTCAATGAGGACAAATTCCAACTACTCCGTTATGGAAAACTGGAGGAGATAATAACTAGAACAGAGTATACTACAGACTCCGGCCATACAATAGA